GACTGTATACTGATCAATGGAGCGAGATTCCTCGTACCTCCTATGCTCGACCACTCGATGACTTGAGCGTTCTGCTTGCGGCTTCCTGCGATCGAAGGTTGCAGGGGAGCCTTAATTGTCGCAGCGTTTTTCAGAAAACGATGATAGAAATTTGCCATTCCCAGGAACCGACGTAGTTCTTCAACTGAAGTTGGCAATGGAAAGTCCACGATGGCCTTTAACTTCAAAGGTAAAGGTGAAATACCGTCTTTGTAAATACGGTGCCCAAGATAGTCCACTTGGGCTTGGCCGAAAACGCACTTCTCCCGGTTGATTAGAAGACCATACTGCTGAAGACGATTGAAAAGTTGACGAAGATGTTGTTGGTGTTCATCTGGCGACGAAGAAGCGATCAAGATTTCATCGATGTAGATCGTGCAGAAATCCAGTCCTGCGAGCACTTGATTCATGAACCGTTGGAATGATTGAGCTGCGTTACGCAAACCAAAAGTCATTCGAGTGAACTCGAATAACGCGAACGGGGTTATGATTGCAGTTTTTGGTACGTCTTCGTCCCTTATAGGAATTTGATGGTACGCGCATTTAAGATCTACGGTCGAGTAGATGCTGGAACCATGCGGGAACATGGTACAATCTTGTAAGAATGGTATCGGATATCCGATCCGGAATCGTTATGCTGTTTAATCGCCTATAACCACCACAGGGACGCCAAGTTCCACCCTTCTTTTTAATCATGTGTAGCGGGCTGGCCCATGGACTCTTTGATGGCCTACAAATTCCTTGTTGGATCATTTCGTCGAACACTCGGCGTGCTGATTTGAACTTTTCCGGGTCCAAACGACGAGCTCTAGCTGTAAGAGGAGGTCCAATGGTCTCTATGAAATGAACCACGTCATGCCGAATTCTCGTGGACGCTCGCTGTTCCTGCAGAAGTACAGGGCCGATGCAGGAATAATGGACACATCCGGTCCCGTATCGATCAGGAAAGGCAATCCAGTGATCCTGTTTCTGACGATGAGGCAACTTTGTATCGGCTCTCCGGTGTCTGTCGCCGTGACTACCGGAGGTTTTAGTTTCCCTGAGTGGGAGTCCTGGAAAAACTGCACGGTGGTCTGTAGCCACGTGCTTGCTCGCCATAGCATTTATGTATATAACAGAGGCCGTTGCGGGATTGGGATCGACCGCGACTACGACCTCGCGATCTATTCCAGCGGCGGAACCGGTCACCGCGCGTACGATTTTTGTCCAATCGACGAACGTCCGATTCGAGTCTACGCATACGTTCACATAGTTCAGTCAACGGGTCCGAGAAACCCGAACTTTGACTAGAAAGCACTGTCGGCACTGGACTTGGTAAACTCGCGATCGTGTTCACTCCTGACGTCAACGCGGAACTCCCGAGCACGTTAAATTGTTCATAAATTCGATCCGCATATATCGCGAGCGATTCTAGATCTAGTGTATCACTGACAGCCAAGATCGGTCGCACATTGGCTGGTAACTGTTCTAGGAACAATGACCTTAAAACGGAGTCGTTCGGGTGTGCGTTCATTACCGCACGCAACTTGCAGAAGTAAGTCGAAGGCTTGTCGGTGCCAATCTCGTGCTATTGTAATAACCGACGCAGCTTGGCCTCCTTCGATTCCCCGAAAGTATCGAGGATACGCTGTTTAACGGCTTCGTACATGCCATGCTCCGGTGGAGCGAGCGCAATGTCGCGTACAGCCACAAGTGCGTCACCGCTGATGTTCACGCACACCGCACTGAATTTGTCCTCGTTCTCCGTTTTCTTGATCTGTGTGAAGAACAATTCTACTTGCCGAAGCCATAACTCCGGGTCGTCCTTAATGAACGAAGAAAACGCGCACTTGTTCGACCGCTGCGCAAGCGCGGGAAGATTAACGGACGATTCCGTCATCGCGACGTTTGAACTTGTACCGTCGGGCGACGGAGGTTCACTGTCTTCAAGTCGCAACTGGTTACGCGTTACTAGCATTACAATGTCTCAATAACGGTATGTGCGCACTGCACTGTTGTCTACAACACGCGCGAGAAGATTGCACGAATACAAACTGCCACGTGCACTTGTTCGTACGTCTAACGTTCGACTATATTAATTTCGGACGCTAGCCACACTGTTGCAACGGTTAATTGTTCGAATCGGCATTTATTAACCGATCACGTCGGGGTCACCAATTTATGGCTCGTGGGCCATAATTATTAGATCAGAAATAAGCAGGTAGACTAGCTATTGTTTCAAGGAACATTTATTCTTAATGGCGAAAAGGCGCGAGCACGTGCGTGCGCGTAATGGCGAACCTCGTGTTCGCATGAACAATGTATTCGCCACTTATGACTAGCGGTTGAATGCGCGTTAATAAATAATATGATATCACGAAAAGAGTGTCGTTAATGACAACTATTATGAACAGTAATCCGCGAGAACGGATCCGCGTTTTACTCCACGATGCGGAAGGGATTTCGGAGACTTGGAAACGCGGCTGAGCAATGATGCCTCGATAGAACGACTCTATAACACTGATACCGTAACGGAAGAGGAGTTTGAGCAGCTAGGCGGAAACCTAGACTGTTCAACGCAAGAGCGGCAAACTCCCTAGGCTTGTTGGCGCAGCGACGCCACAAATTGTAGGGACTATGTATGTACAGTTTAGTTTAAGCCTAGGGTTATTTGCGTTTACATATATAAGTTCCTAGAGTCACATAGCAACTACAGACACGTGATGTAACGGTCACCGAATTCAATTCGTTTTCGGTTATGCTTGGTGAAACATCGTGAGCCTAATAAAGCATTTTTGTTAAAGAAAAACGCCGTTCTTTGTTTCTACTGAACCGGGAGTGTAGTGAGTACGCTACAAATGGTGCCGAAACCCGAGAGCAGATCGAGAACGGTTAAATTACATTTTGTTTAGAAAGATTGAGCTCTGAAAGGAAAAGCACACAAAGGAAAAAACATGAACCCCGAAGAAAGCGTGCAGGATGGTGCTTCTAGCCAAGTTACAGATAAAAATGAGATCCAGGCGCATGAATTCCGTAACGTTAAATTGCCAGCGTTTTGGAGAGAGGAACCTCGTCTATGGTTTATCCTTCTTGAGAGGGAATTCGCTGCGTATACGATTCGAAAAGATGCGGTTAAAAGCTCGGCAGTGTTACGAGATTTAGACGTAGAGTCGATGAAATTAATACTAGACGTGCTGGAATCCCCGACGGAAGAGAGTTCATACGAGAACATCAAGAAAGCATTAATCGAGCGTCTAGAAAAATCTGAAGAAGCCAAGTTGTGTCAGCTTCTCACAGGAGTTGAGCTAGGTAGTAAAAAACCATCGGAGTTGTTAAGGGAGATGACTCGATTGGCAGGTGCTAGTGTTAGTGAGAAAGCTCTTCGCACTTTGTGGATACAAAGATTGCCGAATAGAATACAGGAAATTCTGGCAATAATAGACGACGCACCAATGGATCGTTTAGCCAAGATGGCGGATAAGACAATGGAACGCGCTGGAACAGCAGAAATGATCGCCATTGCAGGATCTTCAAAAGAAACGACGGTTAACAGCGTTTCACAAGTCAGTGAATTGGCGGCCATTGTGAATCGTCTGGATAAGTTGGAGACTGCATTACGGAGTCGGACTCACAGTAGAGGACATCGACGGTTCCAAAGAGGAAGGAGCGAATCCGCGAGCTCTACAAGGGAAAATGGTCTTTGTTACTACCACGACAAATTCCGAGAGAATTCCTGGAAATGCAAGAACCCTTGCTCATGGACGGGACCAGATCAGAGGAAGACGACAGCGCAGCAGGAAAATTAATAAGTCCGTCTCAAATTGAGGCGCTTTTAGGACACAAGAAGTGCCGTCTCATCATACGCGACATACGGACGAAAATCGAGTTTTTAGTTGATACTGGCGCAGATGTTTCCGTCCTTCTTAAAGTTTTTGGAGGTAAAAATGCGAAAGTAGATGCGTTCAAACTGTATGTAGGAAACGGTACAGCTATCGATACTTTCGGTGAAAAACTATAAACTTTAAACTTAGGTCTGCGACGCGCATTTTCCTGTCGTTTTGCCGTAGCTGATGCCTCTAAAGCGATTATCGGAGCTGATTTTTTACATTTTTTCAATCTATTGGTAGATTTACGTAATAAAAGGCTAGTAGATGGAAATACATCACATTTAAATTTGGAAAAATGTGCATAAATGATGCTATTCCAACAGTTTCTACCATAAACAAAAATAATAGTATCAAAGTACTTTTACGCGAATTCGTAGAAATCACGAAATTCACAGGCAGGAAAAATGTTAAATTAGATGTTTGTCGTTACGTAACCACTAAAGGTCCCCCGATTGCAGAAAGGGCACGTCGCCTGCCTCCCGACAAACTAAAAATTCCAAAAGCAGAATTCGAACAAATGCTTAAAGGAGGTATTTGTCGACCTTCGAAAAGTCAATGGGCAAGCCCATTACATATGGTACAAAAGAAGTCGGGAGACTGTCGACCGTGCGGGGATTATCGTCGATTAAACGGTGTTACAGTACCAGACAGATATCCCCTGCCACACGTGCATGATTTTACACAACAGTTTGATGGTTATGAAGTTTTTTCAGTAATAGATCTAGCACGAGCGTATTATCAAGTACCTGTGGCAACTGAAGACGTGGCAAAAACAGCGGCGATCACACCGTTTGGACTATTTGAATTTGTAGCTATGCCATTCGGGTTGTGCAATGCAGCACAAACATTTCAAATAGTTATAGATACGATGTTACGAGGTCTAGATTTTTGTCGTTGTTATATAGATGATATTATAGTAACATCGTCGAGTGTGGAAACTCACATGGAGCATTTACGTGCAGTATTCACTAGATTAAGAGATAATGGCATGAAAATTAATGTTGCAAAATGCCAGTTTGCTAAAGATAGCGTAGAGTACTTAGGTATAAGATTAGTAGTAAGGGAATTGCGAACGAACGGACAAAAGCAATTCAGAATTATAAGAGGCCTAACACAATTGCAGAATTGAGACGATTTTTAGGCATTGTAAACTTCTATAGAAGACTTTTCTTTAGGCGAATTATTATTACTCCTTATCGGTGCGTCTACCGATGAACACGTATTCCAGACGAATTTCTGAGAAGGTTCTCCGAATTCGAGAAGCGGATTAAAACCGGGCCGACGTTGAGAAATCCGTCGGCATTCCGGATTACAATCAGCTGTTTGCTGAAATACGATTGATGATCGGAACTGCAGTAGATCGGTATAGATCTACTGCATTGAGAGGAATCTCACGCACCTTGACCGTATCAGGG